AAACTATTTAACGTATGTGTAAAGAGATGTTTCAAAGATTAACTGCTCACTCGAGAACTGCGCCCAGTTGAAATTCCGAGGGTACTATTGAAGTATGAACGTTTAACTTTCACGAAGATCTGGTGAACAAATTGGTGGGTTTTGAAAGACAAAAAAGCTATATGTACAAAACAAAAAATATATAAAGGGCCACAGCGGCAGATGAAGGCCAAAGTCCAAAACACTGAAACAGTGGAAGAAAAAAACTATATGGTACAATATGTATTTTTCTATTTCCACAAGATCACTTGTGCCGAGAAGCGTGAGCGTAACCCTGATGCATTGAAGGGTCCTATCCACAAGAACAAGGAGTGCTGCCAGTGGTCCGGTGAGTGTGGCGACTTGAAGAAGTGCACTCAGTCATACTGCGAGAAGGAAGCCCACTCGTCCGATGTTTACAAGCGATCCGACTTCCAGTTTTAAATTGCCTGTAGATTCTGCACACTTGACAATTAATTAATAAATTAGTACCTGAGAAATAGCATATGTTTTACATACTTCGCAGACAAATGTCAAGCATGGCATGAATAGCTTTTCATAGACGCGAGATTGTGGTTTATTATGGTATGTTATGTATTACTATTATTTGCCACAAATGGAATACATGGCTAGGCGGTATGTCAATAAGAAACTGTGAGTTATTCGATAAGATCGATCAATTAACACCACGAAAACAAGTGATCCTGCTGGTTAGATCTGTAGATTGATGGGAATTTCTCCATGAAGTAGTGATTCGTTCTGCTGATAGTGTAAGTTGACTAATATATACCACATTTGCTATTCAGGATTCCCTGGAAAACAATATGCCTTTGTTGACTGCTTCGCCATAAGGAACTACTTCTCGGTGTATACTTTTGTGCATTGTGCATTGTGAACTTCATAACTTGGGTGTGTCAGGCTGACTGTTTGACATATGTGTAAAGAGATATTCCAAAGATGAACTGCTCACTCTGGAACTGCACCCGGTTGAAATTCCGATGTTGTGTACTATAAAATGTTCGAAGTAATAAATAAAACGGTTAACTTTAACGAGTATTTTAAAAAAGTGAAACGTTTATAGAAGAGTAGGACGATGAATGACAATAGGACCATATGTCATATGACTATTTTTCAATATTTAAAAAAATAGTAGAGAACCACTCCCCGCCCCACCCCCCGGGCCCCCAGCCGGTTCGCGGTTCCGGGATTCCCGAGTTCCGTGAGCCTGAACGAGTCAACTGGCAGTCTAACATTCTGAAAGTTTACCGTCGATATAATTATGTGACTGAATTTGAAATTCAGACTTGACACAAGGGAGAGATCTGAAAGCCTGGCCCTGAAGAGAGTGGAAGGCTGAAGCTGGAAGCAGTGAAGTCAAAGCCGTGACTGCAGACTATTGCGAGGCTGGAGGCTAGAGACTTTGAGAGACTGAGACTGATGTCTGACAGTCTGACAGAGTGAGACTGACACTGCATCTTTCTGGAATCTGACACAGTGACACTCTGCCAGACTGCCACATCCAACTTGTTGACTGAGAACAACTCTTTTTGTTTTGTTAAAAAAACATTTACTTTACAGTTTAGTTTACATGTAGTTTTCAGTTTTCACAGATTCGAATGCCACATGTTACTCTACGAACGGAGTAGATTAATACGAGCCTTACGAGGCATTACCCGGCCGGCTAATTGGCAAATTTGAAATTGCAGGTATTATTATTTATTGCAGCTTACCGGACACGGGACACCGAGGGACACCGACTCACCGCCGCCGGACTGCTCTACGGTAAACTCTAGTAACTGCACTGTATGTAACTTGTAAGTTGTAGCTCTATCGTCTATACTCTCCTACAGTCTGTCTACCTGTCAGCTGTCTACTCTTAACTCTATGGCTCTATATACGGAGTGTACGCTCTCAATTTGAATTTAATTTTCTCATACATGCTCCATGCAGTTATGAACACGTTGTGCAATGTATATCATCATCACACAGACCTACAGCACATAATCGACAAGATCATATTACAAAAGCCACTTTCACAGAGACACCATACATTGTGTACTAACAAAATAAAGGGCGACTACCATGGACCTATGCATTATATAAGCCGTCGTATTCTAAATTCATCAATCAATTCAACTATACCTTTCTTATAATAACTAATAATCTATATCACAATGAAGTTTGCCACCATCGCTACTATTGCCGCCGTTGCTGTTGCTGTCAGCGCCCACACATACGAGCAGGAGATCACTTGTGGTATTAAGGGATTCACTGGGAAGTCATACGACGAGTCCAAGGTGTGCTGCGAGTATTCTGGAAACTGCGGCAATCTCTCCAAGTGTACGGAGAGTTACTGCACAGCCTCTAGCAGCTCTGGCAGTGGTAAGAACGGGTACAAGATCACTTGTGCCGAGAAGCGTGAGCGTAACCC